AATCTGTGGGACAATTTGTGGTTTGTTTCTGTGAAACTATATATAGCAACTATAACTGTATTATTAGGGTATGATATTTAATTTTCATGGCTGCATTAGATGACTGCCCGCTGAAAGTCCAGCTGATTCTATTTCACTTTTGCGTTCATTATTCTAAAAAAAGATTACTAATTGTTTCTTTCAATCGCTCAAAAGTAAAACCCGCTTACGTGTGCGTTCTGTGCAATTTTGACCTTCTCTCTAACTGCCACACAGTTCAGCAGTAAAATGTACTGCTCCACTACTGGAATCCAAAGTTTTTATTTGAATAACATACTTCTGTAGAAATTTCCCAGGCTTCTACTGACAGGCCAGACATTCACAGAGGCAAGCAATCAGAAGACAGCTCTATTAACAATCTTGAAGAGGTATGGGATAAATAAATACCTATCACTTTAGAAACAATAATAATAAAATACTGGTGCTTTTCCTTCCCTCCTCAATGCCACTTTATCCTCCATTCTTAATCTTTAATTTCCTATCCCCAAATCCCTTTATAGTGAAATTGCTAATCTGCTAATGAGAAACAGCATATTCATCAAAACCAATTAATGTCATATTGTTTGCAGTGATACCTTCTCTCTCTACCCCCTTTCCCTTCAGTTTAATAGGGCTGTTGCTGTTAATGCTCAATCTAAAATGGAATTTTAATTACATGCACAGAGTTTCATATGAAAGATAGTGCAGACTAAACTAATGGGCAGAGGTGACGACAGCTACCATTTCACCGCAATAAAGTCAAATTTGGCCTGTCTTACGCTGCAGGAAAAAAGACGTTGCAATGTTTCTTGACAGCTGCAGTGATAGGAAACATATTTTGCTTGAATTGCTGAAGGAGCACATGTTAATTCTTCACAAAATATTTTGTCGTTAGCCAAAGAATACTCTTTATGGGGAAAATAAAGCAGGACTCTATAGGCAAGCCAGTGTGCACATTAGATTTTATCTGCTAGGAGCCCTGAGGCTGCCTACATTCAATGCGAGTCCTACTCAGAGTAGACCCATTGAAAATAATGAACAAAACTAACTTAGGTCTATTAATTTCAATGGGTCTACTCTGAGTAAAACTTAAGCGACTACAACGCCTGGTTTCAAAATCCCACTCAACCATGAAACTTATTGAGTGGCATTGGAACAAGCTATTGTCAAATCACTTCACAAAGTAAAATGGAAAACCACCAAAAGCACATTGAAAGAAGGACTGATAGACAAATGGATAGACTGAACAGTACTCGAAGAGGGAAGCAAGGGAACAGAGACAATTTCAAAGTTGGAATAAAAAGGAAGTGGGTAGCCTAGCCTATATACAATTAAACCCACCCCAAAAGATGATGTATAGGATTCCACCCCAATCCAAGCAGGGAGCAAATGACCTGCTCTTCTGCATAATCTGCAAATAATGACCAAGCACCATCCTCTTGGGTAATTTGGAACACTCATGTTTTGATTTCACGCCAAACCACTTAGAAGCTAGACTACAGTCAAGCCTTTAACATTTTGTTAAATAAATAAAAACAAATGCATAGTACTAAATGTATAGTACTACTTTGAACTTATGCTGGATATAAAGATGGTTGAATTGTATATAACAACTGAACAGGCACAAAAAGACAACTATGGGTGATATTCAACTAAGTTTTACTCTGAGTAGAATTACTGAAATTAATGAACCTGACTAAGTTGGGACCATCAATTTCAATAGGTCTGAATACCACCCCAGAGTTGTGCATTATGACCATTTATCAGGTAACTGAATACCATACAGTATTTTAAATCAATGGTATCAATTTATTGTTCTTTCCTCCTATCTATCTGTCTCAACCATTTACATACTGCTTCACACCTCAGTCTGTAAGCCAGGTGTGGGGAATCTTTAGCTTACCCCATGGCCAGGCTTGCTAGGGCTGGTGGGAGTTCTAATTCAGCAACAACTGGAGGTCCAAAGATTCCTCACACCTGCTCTAAGTAAGGTAAAGCTAAAGGTAAAGGGACCCCTGACCATTAGGTCCAGTTGTGACCGACTCTGGGGTTGCAGCGCGTATCTCGCTTTATTGGCCGAGGGAGCCAGCTTACAGCTTCCGGGTCATGTGGTGAACCAGAGCAGCACACAGAAATGCCATTTACCTTCCTGCCAGAGCGTTACCTATTTATCTACTTGCAGTTTTTGGCATGCTTTCGAACTGCTAGGTTGGCAGGAGCAGGGACCGAGCAACGGGAGCTCACCCCGTCGCAGGGATTCGAATTGCCGACCTTCTGATCGGCAAGTCCTAGGCTCTGTGGTTTAACCCACAGCGCCACCTGCGTCCCTTAAGTAAGGTAGGGTAAGGTTAAAAAAGTTACAATAAAAATAAAATCAGTTATCCATAAGATCAGAAAACATACTTAAAATGCCTGTTGAAATTAAAAATAAAACTTCTCATTAGGTGCTGCTCATTCAAGAGTGGGGAGGCCTCTCTGATCTCAACAGGGGTTCCACAGAGTTGGGCCCAGAGTACTGAACACATGGCTCCTGGTGGATACAAGCCATGCATCTGGGCCATGAGGGATCCTCTGAAGATCTCAGTGACCGATTGGGGATATCAGGAGTCAGGCACTTAAAGTATCCTGGACCCAAGATGTTAAATGAATAGAAGAACCTTGAACTTGCCTTGGTACCATATCAGCAGCTTCTGCAAGCTTTTATGTGTGGGGCCCACCAACAGTCTAACTGCAGCATCTTGAAGGAGCTGGAGCTTCTTGCCCAGGACCAGGGGTACCCACACATAGAGCACATTGAAATAACAGAGTCTTAAGGTAACCAATGCAATCACCATGGCCAGCTGTAGTTGGCATACTAGGCATAGCTGTCAAAATGCTATCTGGAACCTAAAACTGTGGTTACCTGAAATCAGAAGCAAAAGCTTTTCAAACTCCTTTTTGTGGCTTTGGCAGAGGAGATAAATGGGAGGGATAAATGTGCTGTGCCTCAACACCCTCATGAAAAACTATCCCTTATGTATGCATCCGTACAGAAAAAAGGATGTTGCAATAATTCACTGCATGCAATGTATAATAAATTCACCATTTTAAGGTAAATTCGCATGAACCCTTCCCAGGCAGAAAGTTCCATTGAATTAAATGGGGCTTACTTCTTAGTAGACCTGTATACCATAATCAGTCAAATGAAACTAGTCTGCCTTAATAACTACTGTTATTATTTTATAATTAAAAGATAGAACCTGGATAGAAATTACAATTGATCTCTTTGTCTAAAGTCACAGGCATAGGCAAGGAATAAGATTAGTATTAGTGATGCACTGAATAATTTAGCTGTGTGTAAAACAAATTAGGGCATGTTCCTTTGTTCATAAGATGGATGGTGCAACAAAGAGGTAGGTATTTTAATATCCTGCTTAATGTCAACTTAGAAAATGAGATTCTTCCTTAACCTTTCTGCTTCATTCACAAAGATGCATGGCCACAAGGCCCTACAAAGAAAAGCACACAAATGTTTGAGGAGATGATTCAAAGAGTTGGGGCATCTCTTAGAAGTGGGAATCAAAGAAGTCACAATTTAAAAAAGGAAAATATGCTTTTTATGCTTTCAACTGAATATCTGAAATGAAATTATATAGAATCACCTACCTACAAGTTATCTATTTTGTGAAAAGGAGTAACCACAGGAAACCATGACATACATTCTGTCAAGTGGCACTATTATGTAATGCTTAGTTACCTAAAGCATTTCAATTTAATCAACTCCAAAATGCTTTAACTCTTGAGATGCTATCACTGAAGCTGACACATTTGCAATGAGTCCTGTTACATATTATGCAAAATAGCAGAGAATCATCTGTGTTGAATCACCATTGGCTGTGGATTATGGCGGAAAGTACCTATGCAAGTCCATCAGTCCACTTGATGTACACTGCCAATGTAAGGTTACTTCTATGGAGAAGAAGCAACCAACCCTCCAAGGGGTGGCATTGAATTGGTATTGAGAACAGAATTTCAGTCAGTAGGAAGAAGACAAACATTCATACATCTGATCCTTTCTTTCTTCTTTCTTTCGTTCACACAAAGTTTCTTCCCTTACTTCCTGGAGTATATCAACATTCATTGTAAAAAAGAGTCACCAACCTTTTTAGGTAGGTGGGCACATTGGAATTTTTCATCTAAATAATGTAGATTATGTTCATGTGCTTAATATGGAGAATTTGCAGAACACTGTCCCTCAGAAAACTCATTGAACGTACTGAATGATACATTTTGGCAACATCACAGGATGGTGTGCCAGATCGATATTCTTTTCCAGTAATGAGATTTGCTTTTGTTTGTTGTGTTTGAATCATTAGTGAAATCTTTGCTCCACCACGCCTGCCCAAAAGGCTTTCCAGTCCACAGGATGTCACCATATGGATGCATCTCCAAACAATATGACAACCGAGCCAACCAAAGAGCAGCAACAGCACAAAAAGCCCACAACACCTGTGAAGGGCCTCTTATAAAACAGGCTTCCACTAGAAAAAAAACGTATCAAGGCAACCACAGCACAATGACAAACAGCCTTTATAAAGGGACTGATCTAATTATAAAGTTAAATTACAGGGTTCTTGTAAAGAAAACACAATAACAGCAATGAGCCTGGAAGTGGCTAAGTTCCCAACAAAATCATCCCTATTAGCTTCTATTCATGACTTGAATTATGCCTTTTTATCTCTGCACAGCATTCAGCATTTACTTACCATTAAATTTTGAAGCATTGCAACTTTCCGCTGACATTAATTCATTCCCCAAAATAGAAGACTCCAGCCTTTCCTCTGTTAGACATTTAAGCCATTCAGGTGTTTATTTTCTAGTTTCTTTCTTGAACTTTAGAACAGCAAGAAAGCTCAGGAGCAGAGGCATGATGAATGAGAGGCGGTTTTCGAAAAGGCAGAAATGTTGTCACTTAATCTAACAATAAAAGAGCAGCCTCCTACCTTGAAAACAAACATTTCCCGGCGAAGAATGGCTAGAGTGTTAAAATTTCCATCGCAGATGTTGGGCTTGGCTCCAGGGTAAGAAGGCTTGTCTCCTGTGGGTGGCCGCGGAGGTTTAGGCCTGTCATTCTTCCGTGGATCTGCTGGAGGGACAGAACGATGTGGGGGCACTGTTGGCAGAGGTCTTGTTGGTGGCGGGAGTTTGTCAGGTGGCCCTTTGGGAGGGAAAAATGATACTAGCAGATTAACATCTAGGAGACTGCATACTGTTCAGTTGGTGATGCCATGAGCTGAATTGCACAGGAGCTGCAAATTAAACCCACATGGAACAAGCAAATTTGCACAGAAAATCTGGCGAATAAAGGGAGCTGGTATCTCAACAGTGGCTTGCTTGTGGCCCTTAAAACTATGGTGTGGCTGAGTTCCACAGCCTTTATCGCCAATCCTACCAATTAATTGGGATGGAAATGTTCAAACAGTAATCTGCAGTTAAAGCTTAAGTTAATTAATCACACTTGAGTAGCTGATTAGAGCTTGCAGCCCTGTAACTTTTTCCATTTTTCTTTTTAAAAAAATGATTGCTAAACTTCTTAGCAGCAGAGATAAGTCTTAATACACGGTAGCAAAAAATGTCTGCTGCCAGTGTATTTCCTTCTTTACTATAAATTGGGAAATGGACAAATTAGAATTAGTTGCTAGCTTCAAGGTCAGACTACTCACACTGAATTAATTAGATCTAATCAACTTCGCATAATTCCAGTCATGCTGAATGTGCATAATTTGGGTTACTGAATTTTTGCTATTTTGATTTGCTGTAAGTTACCAGTAGCTCCAGCTATTTTATACTGTCTTGTTCACTGAAGCCAAATCATACTTAGGGCAACCACTACTCTCCCTGGACAAGAAGTTCTCAAAGAAGAACCTGTGTATAACTGATTCTGAACAGCTGGTGCCTGATTCAAATTGGGGTCTAATGTCTAGTCATCACAAATAGCGGCTGAGGAGGTAAACTTGTGTTTGGACTGCATCATTCTAGACTGCAGGTTTCACTGAACATCCGTTTCCTCTGCCAAGGAAGCTATCACTGTGGTTTACAAAAGTATGCATGGTGTGAAATAAGTGGAGATATGCATTTCTCTTCCTACACTACAATTTGTGGTCATCCACTAAAATTGACTGACAGTAGATTCAGGGAAGACAAAAACAAAGCGTTTCTTCATGCAAAATGTCATTAAGTTGTGGAATCTCCCACCACAAGGTATTTGCCAAGGACAATAACCTGTGGGTTAGAGCAGGTATGGAGAACCTCTCCAGACATTGCTGAGCTGAAACGTCAATCACCACTGACCATTGGCCATGTTTGCTGCGGTTGATGAGAGGGCAATATCTGGAGGGCCAAAGGTTCCCCACACCTGGATTGGAGGATTTCATTTGACAGGTCCATGGATAATCTTTTAATTGTCATGGTGAAATGAAGCCACCAGGTTCAGAGTGCCGGTTGCTAGAAGGCACTTCGTAGTTATGGTGTCAGGCCGTGGGGTGGGGGACCAAAGGTGGTTGACATTTTTAAACTACTAAAACAAATACAAAATATAAAACAAAGAGTGACAAGAGCCAATGGTATGTGATCTTTGGCCTGGGCTTCCTTACTTCTGCTGGTCAAGGATGCTGGGCGTTCTAGCCCATCTTAAGTCCACTCTGGGTGTGACATAGTTGAATACAACCCTAAATACAGTGGTGCCTCGCAAGACAAAATTAATTCATTCCGCGAGTTTTGTCGTCTTGCGATTTTTTTCGTCTTGCGAAGCACAGTGTCGGGAAAGCTTTGGAAAAGCTTCAAAAATCACCAAAGTCTTTAAAAACCGCAAAAAAGGCTACCACACCGCGTTCTATGAGTTGCTCCTCGAAGTCAAGTCGCAACTGTATTAACGGTGTTAAGAAAAAGGAAACAAACTTGCAAGACGTTTCCATCTTGCGAAGCAAGCCCATAGGGAAAATCGTCTTGCGAAGCAGCTCAAAAAACGAAAAACCCTTTCGTCTTGCGGGTTTTTTGTCTTGTGAGGCATTCGTCTTGCGAGGTACCACTGTACTTATTGGCAAAACCTTCACAACAGCTATCCTTAGCAAGTCACTGATTCAGTCCACAGCTTCTTACCTAAGGAAACCAATGAACCAGCAAACAATATTTAATCTAAATAGTAAAACAAAGGCCACTGTTGATTTTATCACTGTGGCAGCAGAATCAGGTATCTTCCAGGAGACAATATCTGGTTGAAAAATGCTAAATCCAAACTAAAGTTTCCACGTGCTATTTGCTAGTGATGTCATGTTTAACTTCCCAAGGGCAATAAAACTCTTCAAAGTACAGCTTACAGCTGCTAGATACTGGTATTTAGTATGAAGGCAAAATAACCTTGTCTGGCCCTTCTGTCTAGACTCATGAGGTCATAGAAAACATCTTCTTCTGCTTAACCACACAGGAGAAACCCAACCATTTAATTTCCTCTGTGGAACAGCCTGGATATGATAACACATATGCAACAGAGTGGCACCTACCATGCTGCTCCTATATAATCTTATATCAATGCACCCAATGCTTAGCACCCAGTTCAACAGTGCACATTGGAGCAAGAGAATATTCCTCTCTGCCTGAATCGGCTTGCAAACTAAAAAAAGCCACACACATTTCTCAGAAGAGAAAGTAAGTAAAGGAGAGAGAAAGAGGAAGGAACAGCAAACAGAAGTTTAAATCAAACTTTAAAATACAAGAAGCCACAATGAATAAATGAACAGAAATCAAAGATGTCAGAAGGCAAATAAAAAAATGGCAGTGCTGATCCTACACCATTTTGGTGGTACCTGGAGTGGGGGGGGGGAGTGCAAATGGTGTGTCCATCCCCATCCCCTCTAATGATATGTGTTTGCTGAATTTGTCTCTGCATGGATCTAAATTGCATGCAGAATATTTGAAAACCTTTGGGCAAAACTCAACCCTGAAAAGGGTTGTTGTGGTGATTTTACTACCTTAGCAGTGGTATCGGCTCAGAATAAATACTACTTGTTATGCTTATCTTTAGGGGGAAGATCTGGCATTTCTAGTACTTAAAGGAGAGAGGAGCTCAATTTGCCTGGTGCGAAAGAAAAAAGGAACATTATTATGAACTTCTGTAAGGCTATATTGGAATGAGTCAAGAGAGGAGCTCCGTTGGTAGAGCATGGCTCTCTTAAGCTCGGAGTCGTGAGTTAGAGCCCCATGTTGGGGGAAAGATTCCTGCACTGCAAGGGGTTGGACTAGACAGTCCTCAAGGTCCCTTCCAACTCCACAATTCTGTGATTCTGTGAGTCAAGTGCAAGTGCAAGCAAGTGCTTCAGTGAAGCAATCAAATGGAAAGGATGGCTGGAGTGAAGAAGGACCAGGAGCTGAAAACAAATGAAGATTGAGCCAGTGGTTTGTCCTGGAGGAAGTCAGCTTACTATGTTTCATGACTAGAGCAGATATGACTAGAGCAGATATAAGCAATAAGATAGAGGAAAGAGAAGGGGAAAGGAAAGAGGAAATATTAATATTTTAAGAGGAGTCTAGGTTCTCCTTGAATAAAAAATATTTGTACTACTTGGTTAAATATTTAAGAACATTGTTGCTGTTAAGTGTGGATTTCAGTTCAACTTGTGAACAGTATCTGAAACATGGTAGTTTGGCAAAAGCCCTTGGCTTTATCTCAACACAGAATCAAAATCCCTTCAAGGAAATGGATACAAACAACAAGAACAAATAGTTATTGTAGTTTGCATGTTCATATTTGTTCAGTTGTAAGCACAACCCTCAAGCTACAAAGTCTGACTCGAAATTGTAAGGTAATTCCCAGAAATGTTTAAGAGACATCTACCCCTCCTTTTAACATTCTAAACATGCTGTAATGCAGGCATCAGCAAACTTTTTCAGCAGGGGGGGGGCAGTCCACTGTGCCTCAGACCTTGGGGGGGGGGGCGGACTATATTTTGGAAGAAAAAAAGAATGAATTCCTACGCCCCACAAATAACCCAGAGATGCATTTTAAATAAAAGGACACATTCTATTCATGTAAAAACACACTGATTTCCAGACCATCCGTGGGCAGGATTTAGAAGGTAATTGGGCCAGATCTGGCCCCCAGGCCTTAGTTTGCCAACCCATACATGGGAGTTTTTAAACAAGTGGGTTGCCTCATTCACTTCAATGAAGGGAACAGATAGTGTGCATACAAGGAGTGCATAAGCAGGTGTGCAACCTTCAATGGATGCATAGTGTGCACAACACTGTAGCAGTGTAGATATCTGGAAGTGACCCATCCCCATTAGAATTTTTAAAATATTTTAAATAAATAACCAGCATACCATATATCTTTTGGATTCCCTGCAAATCATCATTAGGTAGTTTGAAGTTGTCGGTTTCCATGTACTGGTAAAATGGAGCCATGATGGCAGTAGGGTCATTTGAATGCTCCAGACCCAAAGCATGCCCCAGTTCATGAACTGCAACTAGAAACAAATCGTTCCCTGGAGGAAAAGAAGAAAGAAAGAGGAAAGTTTTAAAACCGCCTTATCAATACATTCACTGCATTTGACACAAAGCACTTCTTGAATGACTTCAAATCATTTTGCCTACAGTTTAGACATGGCCACCCCACACTTCCTCAGGCTCCCTGCTTTATGAGTCAAAAGCTCCCAAAGGAATCTTAAGTATGCTCTTCTTCTGTGTGATTGACTCATGTGTGGCTGACTATACGTGTGAAGCTGGGAAATAAATAATAATAATTTTGATTCAAACCTGGAAAAGGCGGGAAAGAGCTGGAGAGTCCTCTTGGTTCATGAGGAGACCCTCCCCGAGCCCAAACACAACAGCAGTGAGGGAGGAGAAAACCCCAAAGGGACGAGACATAGTGGGGTTTTGTTTTGGCTATCCAGTCTCCCCACCTAGCTGTGAATGCATGTGCTAGCACATCCTCCAGCCTCCAGCCAGCCCTAGAGCAACAATTCTAATTGTGGATATTTATGGATACAGTATTTTTGGTCTGGATTGGAGAGAGTGTGGCAGAGAGGGAGCTTAAAGAGTGTTGAGAGGGTGCTCCCCACTTATGCAATTTTCACTTATTTGTGCTGGGCCCCTGAACATAACCCCCATGTAAGTGGGGGGAAACCTGTACTGAAAAATGTAATGAAAGTGAAAAATAATAATAATGATTTCCACAACTATATTTTTGAGGTTTTTTAAACATCTGGGAGCAAACTTTTCATGGTAAGCACTTGGTGAAAAATAGACTTGCATGCTTTCATGAAGCTGCATATTTCATAACAAAGGCTATAGTAAGTAGTAACAATTCATCAAGTATATGAATGCAAGCTTATTTGCCAATTATTATCATTTATTAAATCTGGATACTGCCCTTCATCCGAAGATCACAGGGGATCTCATTTTGTAAAAATACAAAATGAGCACAAAAAATACATAATAAAAACAAGAACAAAAGCAAACCAAAAACCACCTTCCCACAACACATTTAAAAGGACAGAATATTAATCAGCAAAAGGCTTGGTTACAGAGAAACATTTTTGCCGGTGCCAAAAGATAAGTAATGAAGGCCGAAGGTGAGCCTTACTCCAAATAACCCAAACTGGAGAAGTGCTTACAAAAGCTGAATAATATTACCATGTTAAGTTTCAACAACCCCAGAACTAGACTCTGCAATACAATTGGGGGACTTATTTTCAAAGCACAAGTTTCACAAATGAGTGTACCAATATATGTTTCAAACGATGCTTTCAAGATCCTGGGTAGCTGAAGTAGTGGTATGTGGTGATTGTTGTTATTAAAAAAAATAAGTTTGTTTTGTTTTATGAATCATTCCCTCGAAGCACTATTTTATCAGAGTTCAAGGTCACTCTTCCGAGTTAGAGCATAGGGGGACAGACTAAATTAACCAAGTGTTCACAATGATGAGAAAGTCAAGGGGAATTTCAATAGAAATTGAATTGACACTTCCTTGCTTGGGTTTAGCTGGTTTGTTTCTTCCCAGAGCATTGTCTCAGAGCTATTTCATTGTCTAAATGAATATACACAATGGGCTTATATGTGAGCTAAGTTTATTCTACTTCACTGCTGTCCTGTCTACCTGTAAAGCCCTGTGAAGCTAAATGATTCAGTATTTTATTTACTTTATTTTTAGCATTAATTTCTGGACAAAATCCCCTCAAGGTGGAAAAGGATGATATAAAATTACATTGCATTCAAAGCTTTGTATTAATAATAATGATACCACTAATGCAAAGGTACACACTAGTTTAAGGTACACACAGCCAGCACCTTAATAAAGCTAAGCAGTACAGGATCTGCTTTGTGCCTGAATGGGTGACAACAGCAACAAATGTAAGGTTCTGCACTTAGGCAGGGAGAATTACTGGCCAGAACCAGCTGCACAAATATAACTACTGGCTTGCCAATAGTACATGTGAAAAGGATCTAGGGGTCTTAGAGGGCCACAAGCTGAATATGCGTCAACAGTGTGATGCAGTAGCGGGGGGGGGGGAGGGGAGATAATGCTATTCTAGGCTGCAACAACAGAAGTATAATGTCCACATTGGAGGGCATTGGACTAGATGACTCTTTGAATCCCTTCCAACCCTACAATTCTATGATCCTATGAACCTGGGAACCATGGACCTGGGAACTTGGATTCCATGAGAGAAGAAAAGCAAAATATAAATTTAAGAAAGAAAGGTCAAGAGCAGTTCTTTCAACTGGCCCTGGAAACACACTAGTATAAGGCCAATAGGCACAGAATTGATTTAAAGTGTTCAAATCTCTTAGCCCCAACAAGCACTCAAACAGCCACATTGTGCCAATGAGTTTGATTCTAAAGAAGACATAATTTTATTCTATCTTTCTGTTGACCATTATTACAACACTGGATGTTTGAAGGCATTCGGGAAACCTGATAAACCACAAACAAACTGCAAAAATAAATCCTTGTTTCCAGTTACGAGCAAATAGCACCCCCCCCATAACTACCTTAACTCACTGACAGGCAGTTAGGCAACCTGTGAAATTTACATTCCATGCATTCATTCATTTCATTTATATACCGCTTACCATCCAAAGCATCTTGAAGCGGTTTACAATAACTAAATACATAAGTGTGTTTAAAGATATGCATACACACACAGCCCACAATAAAGCTATGTCAAATAAATCCATCTAACACGTAACAAAATACATAAAGAATATTTGTGTCCATAAGAATAATATAAATATAATCAGAGCACCACAAGGCAGTATAATATAAAATTTCAAACATCACAACATACAGTGGTGCCCCGCAAGACGAACGCCTCGCAAGACGGAAAACCCACTAGACGAAAGGGTTTTCCGTCGCGGAGGCGCTTCGCAAAACGAACTTCCCTATGGGCTTCCTTCGCAAGATGAAAGCCCATAGGGAAATCTCCGGGACAGCGGGGAAGCGCAGCGCCTCTTCCCCACTGTCCTCGGACCTCCTCCCGCTGCCAGGCTTCGGAAGGCTGCTCCGAAGCCTGGCGGGGGGGCGGAGAGGTTTTTTAAAAACCCAGGACAGCGGGGGACTTCTCCGCTGTCCAGGGCGATTTTAAAATGCTGCCAGGCGGCAGCGCTGACGCCCGGCAGCATTTAAAAAAACCCGGGACAGCGGGTTTAAAATCGCCCCGGGCGGCGCGTTTCTCCGCTGTCCCGGAGGGCTTTTGAAGGCAGGTGGGGGAAGCAAAGACTTTCGCCCCCCGCCCGGCTTCAGAAGAGGTCCTGGACCTCTTCTGAAGGCGGGCAGGGGCAAAAGGCTTTGCTCTCCCCTGCCTGCCTTCCCGGGAGAGTGGAGAAAGGCAGCGCATTTCTCCGCTGTCCCAGACGGCTTTTGAAGGCAGGCGGGGGGGGGAGCAAAGACTTTCGCCCCCCCCGCCCACCTTCAGAAGAGGTCCTGGACCTCTTCTGAAGGCGGGCGGGGGGCAAAAGTCTTTGCTCCCCCCACCTGCCTTCAAAAGCCCTCCGGGACAGCGGAGAAACGCGCCGCCCGGGGTGATTTTAAACACGCTGCCTTTCTCCGCTCTCCCGGGAAGGCAGGCAGGGGGGAGCAAAGACTTTTGCCCCCCGCCGGCCTTCAGAAGAGGTCCAGGACCTCTTCTGAAGGCTGGCGGGGGGCAAAAGTCTTTGTCCCCCCTGCCTGCCTTCCCAGGGGCTTTTAAATTGCCCCGGACAGCGGAGAAGTCCTCCGCTGTCCCGGGCGATTTTAAAATGCCGCCCGCCAGCATTTTAAGATCGCCCCGGACAGCGGAGATGTCCTCCGCTGTCCCGGGGTTTTTTTAAAATGCTGGGGGTGGGAAGAAAAGCCCTTGTCCCCCCCCCAGCCTTCAGAAGAGGTCGGGGGACAGACTGTCCCCGGACCTGGTCTGAAGTCGGTTTCCCTAGGAACGCATTAATTGATTTTCAATGCATTCCTATGGGAAACCGTGCTTCGCAAGACGAAAAACTCGCAAGAAGAAAAAACTTGCGGAACGAATTAATTTCGTCTTGCGAGGCACCACTGTAGATACAATTTTCATCCAAACTCACATTACCACTACAAGCATTCACTACCTCAACCAATACCTATGTCAACCATGTAAACGTGAAGCACTCCTACTCAACAATATGACATCCCCCATAACAAAGGGTCACTGCCAAACATTTGTATAAAATGAATGCCTAATAGCTGAGACACTATACACACTATACACACGCCCTATACACTATACACACTATACACATGCCACTATACACATGCCCCACCCCTGCTGAACTAATCGTCCTCTCCCATCTCTCACCTGAGAAGGGCCCAAATCTATATCAGAGCTGGATCTCACACTGGAGGGAACAGAACGATTTTGATCCACTTGCTTCCAACTATAGTATTACAACATACCCAATACTGCAGAACTTAAACACCTAAAACACTTGGGGTTTTGGTGTGTGGTTTGTTTGTTTTTTGCATTCTGTCATATTATATTTTGTACCACTGAAAGTTCGGGCACTTTCAGATGCTATAAACGATGAAAAGAAGAAGAAGATACAATTCAATTTGCGTACTTTGTGATTCTTGGATCTAATTCACACAAGCAGTCATACTGTGCATTGAAATCCACCCGTTGCCCTGAAATCGAGTTGCTCTATTATATGTGTTCTCACAGCCTATGTTGCACTGATCATTCCAGTTACCTACTTTTGTGAGGCGTTTAGCGGTCCACAGAGCAGCCAAGTATAATTCATGGGTTGCCCACCCCAAATCCCATGGAATAAAAAGAAATGTATACATGTTCAAGCCAATGTGGAAATAATAGTTTGCCTATGACAAATTTAGACAAAGGTTTTCTAATCAAGGTGGGGAATGACTAGACAGGTTGAGGGAGCTCTTGGCTAGTCCATAGAGCTATTCGTTTCTCATTAGCAAGGAAATGCTCTGAACTGTCTATATTAAACATAAATGTAGCATATAAGTTTGGGG